CCGTCCAAAGGAAGACTGCCTGTGCGTGCTGATGGGCCCATGCTGGGATGCACGGGGGGCGCCCTGGGGGCCAGGGGTCAGGGGCAATTAGGCCACTCAGGCACTTACATGGCTCCTGTATGGAGGTACACCCTCCTTGGAGTGGTCAATGATCTTGTCAGGGACAGAAAAGTTCAATGACTACAAGGGTGAGTTTAATTATATGTTGTCGCTGACTAGCAGTGGTTACGATGGTACAATTACACATGTAATTTATCAGCAAGATACTTGCATACATAATAAACCAAAAGCAAAACATTAAATTTCAGTGGAATCTAAAAATATAAAACTGGGCCGTGATGTGGAGCATACTCACTTGCGAGGGGATGGAAGAGCGAAACCATGAGTGTCCCCTCCCTGTCAGGAGCAGGCGGTTCCCACCCACAGTGACCACGTGGCTTCCATCCCAGAAATGCACTCCCCACACACCACGTAAATCCCAAACCCCCAGTGGTGTGTCAACAGCACGCCTTCACAGAGGAAACGGGACTGAGAAACTGGCTTAAGAAACTCACCAGCCTTTCTGACACCCTCTGAACTCGCTAACCAAGGTCCCCAGAGGGTGCTGGGGAGACCACATGCCTGGCAATGTCTGGGGGTTCCTAGCCCTGGTATGAGCCAGAGGAGAAAAAGTTAATTACCTGAAAATGATCTATACTTTCATTAATTTTGAGTCGAGAGGGAGAAAAGAACAAAAAAATTACTGAATGGAAAAAAAAATGAAAATAATAACAGCAACTCACATTTATTAAATGCCTACTTAGCACCACTGTGAAGTGTATCACAGAGTGTGATCTATTGCACTGCCATTGCTGTTATTCCCAATTTACAGATGAGAAAATTGAGGTGTAAGTCCAGTGACATGCTCGTGTAGTACGTGAGTCCTAAGTCAGCATTCCAACCTGGGAAATCTGGGTCCAGAGCACGCATGTTTTTTACAGGTTTCCAGGCCTGGAATGGCAACTAGTTAATCTCTCTATCCTCTTCATTATTTTCTCACTGGTACTGCCATGATGTCCATTGCTCCATAATTTGACAGTCAAGGATGGGGTGACCAGGACCATTCTCATCACATGAGCTGTTTCCCAGTAGATGGTTACATTGTATACACCATGCCTGGGGATTGGGGATCCTACTCCCCAGAGTCTCAGTCAATCTTCTAAAGATGGTCAACTCTATACTTTCATCAATCTTTTTTTTTTTTTCAAGAATATCAAGCGTGATGAGTCTGAAGAGGACACACTAAAGCCTCTAAAATACATGAAATATACTGTATGCTACAGTTTTGCCCAGGAGATGGTCATTCGGTCACATGGACAAGATGGGAGGCCCAGTTTTCTGAGACTCATGAATTCCTCATCCATGCTCTACTTTGAGAGCGGTCACCTTCTCCTGCTTTGTCTCCATGTCTTCAGTCCAGGTCATCTATACGTATGCCCTACGAGACTTTTAAACATATTTTTTACAACAAAGTGGTTTTCAGCTCACAGAGATTGCCTAGCATGATCTTAGACATGTTTTTCTTTTCTATTTTTTTAAAAAACTGGATTGCAAAGAAGAGATAATGAGAATGCCTTTCTATAACTGGCCATTTTGAAATTTTTTAAAAAATTGGGAGGCCATGGGGTGAAGAGATGGCAAAATAGGTATTTTCTTTGGCCAACTGGGCCCACTATTGTAAGGTTTATATTAGAGCTGGAGATAGAATCCTATCTCCCACCCATCCGGCCATTCCTTCATCTCTCCACCTACCCATCCATCCATCCACCAATCATCCATCTACCCAGCCATCTACCCATCCACTCACCCATCCTTCCATCTATCGATTATATTCTTTATGGAGAACCTACTGTATTTTAGGCATGATTCCAGGAACTAGGGAGGTTAACACTGAACATAAAAGGTCCCAGTCCTCACCAGGCACACCACCACAGTAGGGGAAACAGACCAGAAATAGGCAAAGAAGGAGGAGGTCACCAAAAAGCTTTCCTGCAACACACATCACAACATATTTGGAATCTTCCTAACACAAAGGTAAATTAAATCCATTTGCTCATTTGTTGTTATCATCAAAGATCAGTTGTAAAAACAAACAAGAGTGTCTCATATGGAAAATGTTAATGGTTCAAAAATGTATTCCAATGTGGCGGAATCATCTGAGGGTAAATACTGCAGGCAATATTTTTATGACAAAAGCTTTATTTCTCATCTTCTCTATCCTTGATTTAAATATATACATGTATGTGGGTGCACACATATCAAGATTCAAGTATTTCAATATAAATTTTGTATTCAAATACTTTTCCTGATTTCAGTTGATTGCATATTTGGAGCCAATGTTGCAACAGTAATTTTTGTTCTGAATCAAAAACAAGGAGATCTCTCTCTCTCTCTCTCTCTCTCTCTCTCTCTCTCTCTCTCTCTC